TCTAAAAGTCGCCGCTGCGATCATATACTCGCATATCTTGTGTGAGTTATCAATATTATGTTCATCACCCTGCCTTGAATTATACTGACAGCAGTCGCCGCGCATTTGCTGCAACCAAGAACAGGTCTAAATTGTGTACATTGAGGACATACAGTATATATTCTGATAGTGAATATTTTACACTGAAATTTGATATATTGTGACAGTCCCCATACATTCGCCGACTTAAATTTTAGCTTAGAAATGTGTAAGTTGTACTGTGTGGACGAAAATATTGAACTTTTGGTAATGTTTAAGGCGGACTATTTATTAATTTTAAATCGATCGCGTGCTGTGTGGTTAATCATCACTTTATATTTGCTGAGCGAATTTCAGGCCGTAATTTTGATGTTTCTTCGTGTAAATTAAGTGCAAATATCCAAGAAAATTCACCAAACTGCAGTGACGCTCGAAAACTCCCTGTAACTGCACCGAGTTTTGTGGCTGTTGCACAGGGGGAATCACAATAACTTCTTGTTTGGTATCTCGCGCTAATCAGGCAGATGTTGTAGGAAAAGAGCGGAAAGTATTTCACATGAAAAGCTAGCTCATGAAGTTTTGTGTCCGACCTAATAAGTTGCCACTATACATTGGACAAGTGAGCAGCGTCCGTTTGCTGTAGATCGAGGTGTACTTTTCCAATAGCCGTTTTGCAGAGTTGTCTCCGTCTCAGATAACATTTTTCAAAGCGATTCATCTCCTTGAGAGGTGGCCTTCTTTAGCCAATTTGGCTCAGTATGATTTCATTTGGGTGGTTATCTTAAATCAATTGTTTACAGTGGCTGTCCAAGGAGCCTGTTTTAATTGAAGAACAACATATACGCCAAACCATCGCCAACATACATGTCAATATGCATCAGCGAGTTGAACGGAACTTCAAAAATCGACTAAGTGAATGCCTTGACAATGGGGGCCGCCATTTGACAAATGCCATTTTAAAACTATATGTTACAAAAATTCAGGCAATGTCTTCTTCAATAAAATTCATTTTGTAATGATATTTTCGTTAGTTATTTTTTATTGAGCTTTCAAATCAGGAAGTTTTTGTGAATCACCCAGTAATGTACATTTTTATTTTTTAGCACGGTACAACGGCGACGTGTGAAGTTTTGAGCAATGAATATAACTATTTCTTAAGTGCACGTTTAGGAGTGCTTGTAATTACTGATCTGAGTAACTTATATTAAAATGTGTTACATTAATTAATTTTTATGCTTGTTTGATATACATATCGTGCACATTTTTTGAGAGCTTTGTAAGAAGCCTGCATTGCCTGGCAAAGTTGACCGTTATAACAGATGCTCTGCTTCACAATTCCAATCCCCACAATAGTATTGCTGATGCCTTTCGTTTTTGAGATGTGAAAATAATAAAAAAAACTGGATTTACGGCGGAAGCTCATCGTAATCCCAGATGCAATATATTGAAATGTCGTTGGGAAGAATTTAAAAACGGGTAAAGTTAACTTTATGTAATGCCCAGAATATTTTTATGTTTTAATCTTTGCAGCAAATAAAAAAAAGGTAGGTAGTAGAAATAGGTACTTGAAATTTTTAGAACCAAAAAAAATGGAACGTAAATTCGGAGTATCATCATCTAAAGTGTTTTGGAACTAGCAACATCATCAGTTTTAAGACATAAAGAATAATGTTATATTAACGAATATAAAACCAAAAAGCCCAGAAAATAAAGACCAAAGATTGAAATAAATTATGGGATCTTAAACAGACGTAAGTCAATTGAAGATAATGGCTACGATTTAACTCACTGAATCACTCACTTATTAATGTATCATTAATAAATAATTTTAAAGATGCAAGCAAGTTTTTTGTGGCTGTCGTCAGATGAATGAACTAATTTTGTTGCCAACTAAAACTCATGTACACTGTGAAGTAATACACCTTCTGTTATATTGATCTTCTAACGAATATACCATGAAGTAATCTAAAGTAATTTTTTTCCTAATTCATGGACGTTCAACCAAGCCAACTATAGAGGAAGTCATTTCACAGGCAGTCGCGTGCCCTAAGGAGCCGAGTCAACAGAGGGCGATGAGCTGTAAAGGAGGCGCGTCAAGACTTGAACGCTGCAACAACATCGTCGCCAGAAGCCCGTTACCCTCATCAACTCTACCCTCACTGCCATGATTCAGGACAGAGGAGAAAAAACGGGGTCTGTTGAACAGAGAACATTCGTCATTTATCGGGAAATATACCACAAAGGAAAAAAAATTCGATGAAAAAAGAAGTAATTAAGGATGTTAGCAAGTTGAAAAAATTTATAGTTACAATTTAATAATTAATTAATTATCAGAGTGGAATGCACTAAAGGATAATTTCAGCACAAGCAAATATTGATGGAAATTTATTTTGTAAGTAAAAAGGAGACTCGCACGCAAAACTGTTGTTGACTGTCAGGTCGATGCTCTATATCAATTTATGAAACTGGGACGTAAATCTTTCAAATCACAAGCTTGTATAGAAAAGCAACGGTCTCTACAGTTTTACACCTCGGTTACATGCAAATAAAATGCGAGGTTTTAAAACACTTTGAAATTAATAAAGTATTTTAAAGGCTTCATGACAACTCGCCTATAACGTGTCAAGATGCAGCGGACCAAGAAGCCTCCTGCATGCATGAATTTACTGCCCACGCATGCACGCCAAAATCTCGTTTGTCACTGAAGCTTTTTCTGCAGTACTTTTGATCCATTGACTGCAAGAGAAGAATAAGTGAGCGTCACGCCAACACAATTCATAAGAAGGATGGCTCAATCAGGCGCTAAAAATAAGTCCTGTACGAGTTGTGGTCCGGAGATTGTGGTAAAGAGTTACTTCTTTTGCGAGATCATATATTATTGAACTTATCTGTATGGGAATAAAGATTTGCTCTCCTCTTAGATCATAATTGATATTCCCAGATTGAACTGCCATACTGTGAAGTTAGCAAACATCACGTAAGACATGATCATATCTTTGGGAAAAAACGACTTGATCTTACTCAGCATTTTCCTAGGATATTCTGCCAGAGCTTGTTACAAAACATTGAGGCTTAAATCGAATGGGTTTCACTTTAATTTTTCATTATTTCCTTGATAAAAACTATCTTCATTCCTACTAAGCTGATGCACTAAAGCGAGATTTCATCTGTCCTAACGGAATCGGCGGCAAATTGTCTGTCAGCTGAGATAGTTGTTCTCGCAGAACCTCCAGTAATTTAATAACATGGTACAATTCGTTATTTATTTATATCTGATTTACCTAAAATGTGAATATTTATGTCACTATATTGATTTTCTTGATATTTCATTCATTTATTATGTTTTATTGTATTAATTTCAGAAAATAGTCTATCAGCATCGCTGAACCGGGTTTACTATGACTCCACGGTTTCAAGAACTGATATAAAGGCTCTCTACATAAATTTTTTCCTGACCTTTAATATGTGTCTAATGTGATGATCATAGTTTATTACATAAATTAAGTTAAAATAGCAAGGGTTTGCCTCCATTTACTATTAAACACACAACGATCGAGAGCTAAGATAATTAAATCTTGGTATCAAAACCCGTAGATTTTTGATTTGCTACAAAAACTTTTTCAGAGAAATGTTTCCGTCTTTTGTAAAATGAAATAAAGTCCCGAATAAATTCTTGTAAAATTGATGAAATTTCGAGAATATTTTCAGCTGAATATAAAAAGTTTGACAGCCAAACATCAGCCACTGCAACACTATTTGTATCACCCAATTTGTACCAGCCAGTCTCCAGCACCCAGTCTCCACCACCCAGTCTCCACCACCCAGTCTCCACCGCCCAGTCTCCACCACCCAGTCTCCACCACCCAGTCTCCACCACCCAGTCTCCACCACCCAGTCTCCACCACCCAGTCTCCACCACCCAGTCTCCACCACCCAGTCTTCACCATCCAGTCTCCACCACCCAGTCTCCACCACCCAGTCTCCATCACCCAGTCTCCACCACCCAGTCTCCACCAGCCAGTCTCCACCACCCAGTATCCACCACCCCTGCAGTCTCCATCACCCAGCCTCCACCAACATTTCTTTAACGAATAATATGAGCGTATGTTCGTTAACTATATATATGTACATCCATATAGTAAAAATTATTTCAAATGAACAAAAATCTTATTTGGCGCCGTTGAATCAATGATGCGAAAAAATTGCACTAGAATGTAAAAATCATCTCAATATAAATGACACTATCATTTTTTCATGATGTCAGAAGTTTCACTTTCTACCCGACTTCAAATATTGCTTGAAACTTGAAACTTAGTTCCAAAAGCCAGATTCCAACTTCATCATAGCTTCACCTAAGGCGCCCTGGAAGACTCCCTAAAGACTGCAGTGACATGACTCTTGAGATGCAATTTTGCTCCAATTAGCACTCGCTCATTTCTGCAACTCAGCACCAGCAGCTCACTTTATTACCTTGAATTGGGGCAATTTTCACACGAGTAGAAGGCTGCTAATCTTTTAAGAGATTTACGTGTATCCCTTGGAGGTCTTTCGCCGGCCCGGCATCTCTATTTGTCGGTGACTCCGCCTTCTTCCCTCGCGCCAGGTCGTATTGGCGCAGACAAGCCACGCCCATCCTGAGGGTAAACTGCCTATTTCTGCCAAATTCCTTGACAATATTAGCGTTTTCCTGTGAAACATAACAAAATTTAGTAAATCCAAGGACATCATAAATGCGAACATACCAAATTATCTAACTACAAGCATTGTTACTAAAATTTAATTCCGATTTCGACGCTAAAAAATCGCAAGTTATTCTGCACGGCAAGGTTCGGCACGATGAGGGAAGTGAGGGCCTTCAAAGTTGTTCTCGCGATCCTAATGGAGCCGTGGCATCTGGTAAAGGAATTGACTAGACCTCGTGACAGAGCCAATTAGAGGGGAAATGGGCCACCTCATAGCTGCCCTCACGCCGTACCCTCGCTTTTAGGAAGCATTCTCAGAGGGCTCCAGTGCACCGTAGTGGCAACACTCTTCCGACTTACTCTCTTGGGAGCCTTGCAAAGTGGTGACACTTGGTCAAATTTTCCCTTGCATTTATCTCACCGGTGTTCGTGGTAGTATAATTGATATCTGAAAGACACAAGTGTTCAAGAAGAAGTTTTAGTGCTTCAGAGTGAGAACAATTTGGAACTCTTTCATTCATTGAAATATTTTCCTTCGTGTAATCAACCGCACATTTTGCAATTTAACGAATTATTTACCTATAAAGAAAATATAAATTTGTATTACATTCAATTCCATGATAATTCACAATGACCACTGAGCTGGAGATTGTGAAAGTGACTTCCGTGGAAACGGGACGCTCTACCCCTCATAGGAGTCCCAGCGAATCTCCACATAGTTTACAAATAAGCAAGCAATCTACACAAGGAAGCAGCATCAGCTCCAGTGTTTCAGTGACGCCTTTTTCAATCGCAGACATCTTGACCAAAATGGAAGGTAAGGCAGGCAATAATGTGACAGATAGTGTCGGTGATTCATCATCGAAAGAGACTGAGAAAAACACTGATGGCGAAAAACCGGAAGAAAACAGTTTGGTGACACTTCAGAGACGCAGAGAAATTTCCGTTTCTCTCGCCAAGATCGAGCCGGAAGAAAATTCTTCGAATTTTGACATGTCTAACCAAATACCAATTGATCTCAGCAAGGACGGGCATCACATATTATGGGGCAGCGCCAGTCCACTGAAACCCGAGCATCTTGACTCAATAACAGCGAACAACAACAACACAATAAACTGCAACAACAATAAATTTATGGCTAACTTTATTAACAGCAGCAAATCGATAAAACTTCTTTCCTCACCGAACTCGGCACACATTTCCCCCTTAACCAGCACCATCGGAAATAACGTGCATTTACGAGACGTACATCAAGCGCTGATGCCCCTATCAAACGCCTCGTATTCAAAATCAAACCACACGTCCATGATCGAACAAAGATTACATCAGGCTAGGTTAGAGGCCTTTGGAATGGCCAACGGAATCAGTCGTCACACGCGTGGCTTGTCACCAGATAAACCGTTAGTGAAGCCGGGGTCTTTGAGCGCCGATGCAAACAATGCTTCATCGGCAGTGTCCAGCACTGTGCCGGGTCTAAACAACTCATTGAGCTCTGGAGTTGCTGATAGTCGATCAGTGTCTCCAAACTCCAACGTCAGCATGGAGGAGATGGACGCGAGCGATAAAGATGATGATATTGACGATAAGAGGGCGAGATGCGAAGCAACCTCATCTGATCAACGCCGAGACTCTGACGATAAAGGTAATCTCAAAAAAATTCCTTTTCATGATTGATTTTTTTACTCATATGAAATGTGGTATATTGTCCTGCATGACATTTATGTTCAAAAACAACGAAAACAATGATAGGTCAACCGACGATTTATTTATATATAGAATATTCTAGCTATGGAATGGTAAAAGGCCTTAATGCACCATGCAGTACATGAACTCGTCTATGGGACGAAAGTATCATTAATATTTGAGTTCAATTAATGGCAGAATTTACAGATGGAAAATGCCATAACCCTCTGAATTTGTGTAGGATATGTTCCTGGTACGGGGATAACTTATTTATAAACGCACAATTTCGAATAATATATAGGATGTCGCGGTCATTTATAATGATATAATGTTCTGATTCCGTTACATTATTAAAAACAATTATGTGTCTTTTAAAATAGTTGAAACTCGTGTTTTCATTTCGTGTTTTTGAGTACGTAAAAATAAATGATTTCTCATGATGTTTATCATGCTTTAACTGAATATTTTTATGCTGAATACTTAATTTTTTATAGTGATTACCATACTGAAAATTTTTAAACTGAATACTGAATATTTTTATAATTTTCCTAATTTCACTAATTAAACCCACTTTTACCGATAAAATAAAGCAGAATAACGTCATTTGGTGATGCCGTTTACTTTTATCTATAAATTAATCACAATCTATTAAACACGGTAATACTTTTCGGTACTTTTTGTCGATTCACAGCCCTATTTTGTCGATTGCAGCATTTGCGACGAAAGATATTTACCTCTACCATTAATTGGACCGATGTTCATTATCATTATATGTGGTTCTAGAGTTAGTTGAGTTCTTTTGAATGATTACCTGCTCAATTTGCATAGATTGTGCCGATTACTCAATTAACAGAAAACTATATTCATATAATAGTGATAAAGGTAGATTAGTAGGTGTAATCGCATCGTTATTTGATATTTTCCTGAAAATGTCTCGTTCATTAATGGACGAGACTATAGGTTCAAATTTGTCAACTTTGGTATGCTTATAAGTTCTCTCTACAATTAAGGTCACTTCTTAACACATCACTTATAAAGCAGAAGTGTCACTTATTAACACGTCACTCATTACTCACAAAGACATGTCACTCAACAATAAACTTTTCATAATATCAGCAGCGTACAAGGCAGCTCATGCCGCAAATAGTGATTTATGACATGTAATTACAGAATACATAACATTATTACGCGCAGGATTTTTTTAATTCAACTCGTCTCTAAGCAGTGACACAGAATTTGTAAAATGATTAGCTTTATTACAATATATCCATTTTCAAGCATTGATTTTGGCTGAATTTTAGATATTTTTAAATTTTTTTTCTACGTTGGACATGAAGAAGAACTTTTACGAATCAGAACAAAATCAATATTAAAAAAATCTTCCCCTTTTTTCGTGAAATCCATTTCCTTCGACCGAGTCTCGTAGTTTCTGCCCTGTCATCAGCTATGGCATTTCGGTTTCAATTCGTTTCAGAATTCATATGCAACAAATTAATTTAATATTTTTTCGATATTCAATATATACATTGAATATCAAAATGTATTTGCTACATTGAAAGTAAGTTGATCTTGAAATCTCTCTATATTAGATAAAAAAAGTATCAATATATTGACACTCATACTCTGGATCAGTAACTTTACCACGATCTTTTATTGAAATGTAAAATTTACCCTGAAGTCTGGTTGCCCACTACAGAAGGCAGCGATGCAGACTTCAGCTCTCGAGCATCAGCTCGCAAGAAGAGGTGTCGCGCAGCGTTCAGCCACGCGCAGGTGTTCGAGCTGGAGCGCAGGTTCGCGCACCAACGCTACCTCTCCGGCCCCGAGCGCGCTGACCTCGCGCAGGCACTCAAACTCACCGAGCAGCAGGTTAGTGCAGCTGACCTCGCGTAGGCACTCAAACTCACCGAGCAGCAGGTTAGTGCAACAAAGAGTGACGACGTCGAGCATAGCAAGCAATTGATAACTCAATTACGTATTATGCTCGATCTTATCTAACGCAGCAAACCATATGACGATGTGTATTTTAGTTTCTCGAAGTTAATTTTTTGTTGTCATGTGTTCAACCTTATTTAAGCCATTGAGAATGAAGAGTTGGAATATCCTCAGCACCATGTGCTACAAGCGTAATTTTAGGTAAAATCATATAATTAAATTAATAAAAATATTTTGGAAACGAAACGTGCCATAGCAAGGACCTAATATTATCGCCAATGATCCAGCTATGATTTTCCATAAGGTTTTCTCACTCAGGACCTGCTAAGTCTATCGGGCGACTGCGTTCGCTGTAATCGCATCTTCTTCCACTCAATTAATTGAATAGTTTACCCTCAATTTATCCTCGAGTCGCGTCGGTTCTCACGATTCGACTCTCGCCGATCGAGGATAGAACTTCGAGGCTACCGCAAAATTCGATCCTTATCGACATTTAATGGCATTGTTCGGCACCACAATTGTTAGTCGCGCCATCCTTGATGAACTCGCCGCTAAGAATGAGCGTTCTCAAGTGGAATGCGCTGGATCGTGCCGGCATGCGGGATGATCGCGGTGCCAATAAAGGAATGAACGAGTGAACGAATGTGCGCACGCGACCCACGCGCTAGAGTTAACGCAATCGAACGAAAACTTCCAGACATTTTCCGCATTAAGTAGAAAGGAAATTATTGAGACCGTATAGAAAGGAAATTACTTTCTAGATGATCTTCATTTAAGCAGACGATTTAACCGTTTTATTTCAACGCATGTAATCCCGGAATTGATTAATGTACAGCAATACATTGAGAAATACGCACGATTTAATGAATTTTAGACACGTAAAAAGGCTAGCATAAATGTTCAAATCAATCATACGGAGCATGAACGATGCAAATTTTTTAACATAGAATTTAACAAATTAGCGTCTAATATTTGTATAAAAAAACTAACACAAGATAATTAATTGAGGGACATCAACGTTCTCAATTGTTTTTGCAATAAATTAAATATTATAAAACTGAGGGAAAAATGTAAGATATAACTTGTTTAATAATATTATATGCAACGAATATATCTTAAGGATTATTTGTCATCCAAACCGAAAGTTTTTAAAAGTGAAGGGTATGATAACTCAACACAATAATTGGTAGGAGCTGATTAGACTTTACATATAAATATCTATCTTGAAGATTTACCCTACGAACGTAAGCCCATTTACATGGTGCAGAAAGTACATGCTTAAATAATTTCTAAATTAAAAAGTGCTGTAATTAATGCATGGAGCTAATTTCTCGTCTATACCCATAAATAATAATTAATTCAATTTCAGAATTCGCCGAAAATTGTCGTATTGAAAAACTTCCAACGGTCACCGAAAAATAATAAATTCATTCATTTCAGGCAAGTTTCCCCTTTACATGTTCCCCTGTAAATATTCTATGTAAAAAAGTTGTCTTAAAGGAGCAGGCAGAGAAGGAGATTTTAATTACAAAGTTCCTAAGAAGTTCCTCTGGAGGTCATCATGGGATTTCCTATTACTTTAATCCCCTGGAATGACCCTCTTGGTTGCCCTCTGATTACCCTCTCCAATTTTCGGATTACCTCTTAGGTGCCGGGGCATCAACTCTTATACCTCTCTTGCCACTCCCTGTCATTACGGCATCTCGAGCTCGTTTCTTTTAGTAGGAAATAATGGCCTCTTGTTTGCGTGGTGGGAAAGAAAATTGAGAATTATCATGCGACTTTTAAACCAATTGATTATTACAAATATTAAGAAAATTACTTCCATGGAAAATATTTCAATTAGATTCAGCCTTACTATGAATAATTCGCTATGAATGACCGAAATTTTCCCTAATTACTTTTTTAAATTCTAAATGATGGAACTAACGAATGAAAATATAACAGCGAATTTAAATTCGACAGGGAGTGACTAATCTTCTCATGTGATGCTCTCAATATCCCAGTCTCGCTACGTGAACCATCTACATTAACGCTTCGCAGAATTTCAAAACTCAAGAAAATTAATTTTCAGAAATAAATTGTTTAAAATTAATTGCTGTCAATATAATTATTAAAATATATATGAACATTTTTAATGGATATTCGAATCCAATTTTAATAATAGAGTGATGGGTCCCAGTTGGGATATCATGGGTGACTCCACCGCCCCCTAGTGGCTTAGGCAATCATTATTGCGACGTCATGGGCGACTCCACCGCCCCTGGTGGCTTAGGCAATCATTATTGCGACGTCATGGGTGACTCCACCGCCCCCTGGTGGCTTAGGCAATCCTTATTGCGACGTCACGGGTGACTCCACCGCCCCTTGGTGGCTTAGGCAATCATTATTGCGACGTCATGGGCGTTAATCTTCAGCACGCGTCTAGCGGTAGTTAATTTCACCTTGGCTGCTCTTTTTCTGAGGTGTTTGGTACTCTTTAGCGTGGTTATTTTTGCTGTTACGGTGGAGACTAAACGCTAGCGATCGAAACCTCATTCTAGTTGATCATTTGATGAGGTACTGAGGTCTTTTTTTCTGGTGGCTTTAAGAATATGAGAACAATCCTGGAATACACTGTTGTTGTTCTAGCATAATAATAGTGCATACATGAGCAAGAAAGCTGATTGTAACTGTCTATAACAGACTGACATGTTTTAATTTATTGCCTGAACTCATTCATGCTTAGCCTCTTAAGAATTTTTTGAATGTACTAATCAAACAAAGTTATTTCTAAAAAGATGTCGAAGATGCTACAGAGAAAAATTTTCAAACATTTTATTGCGATAAAATTACGTGATTGCAGTAGAAAAATTTCCCGTTAGACTCTAGATATTCTAATGCACTTCTAAACTAAAAGTCTATACGGATTCTTTACTTTTACGAAACTACATTCAAAATCTTGTGCATTAAATACCGCCAGTAGATCAGGCAGCCTTTCCCGTACTTATTCAGTCAAAAATCGGCCGCAGAGAACACCGGCCCAGCCAGCACTATAAGCCATTAAAGCCATACATCATATATGTTCTGCTGATGCTGGGCCACTGATTTTTCACGTCTAAATTTTTTACTGGAACTTTTTTATCTTTTGCTCCAGTGTTTCTCCTCTGATTTCCGGCTCCTGTGCGATGCAGCATCGCTCATTCTGTGCAGCTCAGATCGAGTATGCAATTACCTGAGCGTAACGTTCGTTTCCCCTCACCCTGTTCCCCTCGTGTGATTATTACAATTAGGCAGTGACCCTTCGCTCGCCGCTCAGAGATCATTAAGGGTAAAAAACCTTAATAGGCATCGACCGAACGCTGCCCGAAACCGGTGGTCGATTGCTCAGATTTTGCACGTGGCTTTCACGTACGTAGAGCTTGACCGTGATTGCCTCGAGCGCTTACGTTGAGTATGACCGTGATTGCCTCGAGCGCTTACGTTGAGTATGACCGTGATTGCCTCGAGCGCTTACGTTGGGTATGACCGTGATTGCGTCGAGCGATTAGGAAGCGATTGCGTGGGCCCATTGAAACTAAATTATTATGTTTAAGTAAAGAAAATTTTTACTGACTTCAAGCCAATTGACAATAACAATTTTTATTTAGGATTGATTCTTTACATTGACTGTGATTAATTTTAAGCTATACTTTTATTTCAACTTCTTGACTGATTCATGAATTCTATGCAATATATTAAACGTTATGCTCTGTTCATTCAGAAATCTACTTTAACGTGTATTTAGCATCTGGCAGTGAGCAGCATGTCTGACGGTGACTTTTTCTTGTCCCGCGCAGATCAAAATCTGGTTCCAGAACCGGCGCTACAAGACGAAGCGTAAGCAACTTGTCGTCAACTGCGGGGAACCTCCGTCGCCTGGGAGACGTGTTGCAGTTAAGGTAAATGATCAAAAAGTATTAGATTTATAAAAAAAATCTGCAATAAAATAATTTGATTATTCTGATTTGACGATAGATGTCGTAACAATAGTCCAATTTGATTTAACTTTTTCAGATTTTTTGTTAATTTACTAGTGATATGTTGATTAATAGGACATCTGAAAATATTTGATGTAAAATATGGATGCTTTTGATACCATATAGTGCTGATGCCAGTCACATATTTTGGTTCAATACCTCGACTGGTAACAACATCGTAAATTCGGGTCGTATTTTATTAATTAATCAAATCGACGAAGAAGTGAAGAGTTGGAGCAGGTAATTTTCCTCCACTAGAATGCTTCTTCAATTTTCTTAGTTGAAGAAATCTTTTTTCGAATTTCAGGTTCTGATGAGGGACGACCAAATGCTGCTGGGTTCCCCTGAAGGGGATCTCGTCTCCCCTCGGGGCCCTCCATCCTTACTGCTGCCCTCGTTTGGCTCCTTACCCCCACCCTTGGGTACTCTAGGATCCCTAGGTATTCCCCCATACTGTTACTACCCATACCTTTACGGCGGGTCACCCGTTGTAACCCATTCCTCCAGCACCCATCAAACCTCGTCGAATTTCCAGTCGAACTTTTCATCCAATTTTCCTTCGCTTCAGGGATTTTCAAATTTAACTAATAATTTTCCGCAACTTTCCGCACTTTCCGCGGCGTCTTTATCGTCCCTGACGAACTCTCTGGCGTCGTCCCTCTTGCCAGGGACGACAATTAACACGTCCCACCATCCGGCGTCCACATCACCTATGGCGAACGGAATTCGTCCATCGTCCCAAACTCCACCGTCCCCGACCCGACCTTGAAACAGGGTTCCGCTTCATTATTTACCTTAAAAATTAAGCTTAAAATTACTTTTAATTTATGCGTTATCCGTTTTAAATTTGATTACGAAATCTCGAAATCAATACAAATAAATAGTTTGATAGCTTAAGTAAACTAATGTCATTGTATTAGATCCCTAATAATTAACAATTTAAAATTCGGTATACAATTTCCCTGAGTATACATACAGTAGTGCACAAATGAACAGCCGTCCATGATTTTTGTTGTATTACAATTAACTTCATCTTAAGAGTTTATTCTCCTGGCAGCTATTTTTTGTCTCCTCGTTGAATAAATGCATTGTACAGCATCAGGGAACGTCGTGTAAAAGGCATGTAGCAATATAATTCAGTAGAATGTTTTTAGTACACCGTGAATAATAGATTGAAAATTAGAATTTTTCAAAATTGTCAATATCGTCAATTAGCTTAGGACGTCACTTCATTTTCCTTGTGTACAAATGTAATAAATTTTCATGAATGTACATAAATAAAATGTTGCACTGTAGCAATTGAAAATTATTTCAACGATAATTATTATGAAAAGAAATTTATTCAATGAAAAAATGAATAATTGGTAAACGGTAATTAATTCATCAAATAAAGCGAAAATTCATTTATATACAAAAATTTCTTTAAATTGGAAAGTTATATTTCAAATTAGACTAAATACTCGTAATCATTAGTTTCATACATGGTTTCTCTAGGCTTTCATTCAATCATTAAAATTTTAGAAAAGAATTGGGACCTGAAACCGTTGAATGATGAGATTGAAGGAGAATATCAAACATGGAGGTTGAATCCCAGCATAATTAATGTATTTTTACTGGAGAACAAATAACTTTGTTATTTTTTCCAATGGGCAAAAAATTACCTTTTTTAAACTTTTTCCATGAATTCTCAATCATCAATATTAATCTCAATCATCAGTGGTATAATATTGTAATTGAATATATAAATTATCCACTACGAATTACAAATCTGATAAAAGTTACCGAGAAAAATAGAAATCGAAACTTTGGAAGCAGTGCACTTCCATAAAATAAAACCTCCATTTGTTATTGAATATATTTGTATTAGTTTCATCTCTTGAATCTCATTTTGTAGGAACTCAACAAAATGTTTATTCCATGGAATGTTCGCACGTTACGCATAGACACCTATTATTTCAGAAGTGTCTATGAACTTAATTCACAAACATGACTAGATGAATAAATGTTGCATAATTTACAAACTTGTTTTATTGCCTATTTATTTATCAACCTATATAAAAACATATTAGTGATTCCAGTTAGTCAATGAAATTTAATTTAATCAGTTTCCATTTAAAATCAATTAATAGATGGTTAATTTTATATATGAACTGCCATCACATTTTTTTGGTAAATAAATAGATTATTTTGATTTCAATTACAGTATATGGTACCAAAAATTTCATGAAAATCTAAATATATATAATGGGCATTAATTTCCAGGAATATTTGAAATAACTTCGGAACTTCCACGCTTACAATGAATATGAGTGTTTTAAATAAATGCACAGTCTCAAGTACTCCACTTAGATCCAGTTACCGCTCTACGTGTTACCGTGAATGCTGTAGTATTCGTGAACGTTGTATGGTATCATGAATTACCTGGTGGACGACATCGGTTATAGCAAGGCGTTCCGGTTCCGATTAATCGGTATTAATCCGTTGCGATCAAGTCAAAGTAATCCGGATAATCCAAATCGTTATTAGGCACTGAAAACGTGGCATGCCGGCAACATTGGATGGCTGGGATTGGTCGTATCGAGGGAAATTAGAATTATGAATATCTTGAGTGGATTAAGCGATGACGAAAATTCCAGCATTAATTTCATATATCGTTAAGTCATCACAGCACTTATATCGCCGGCCTCATATACTGTAGAAACGATCTATTTAGTAACAAAACAAACTCTCTTCTATAGCGTAGAGAAGTGAATTCTTCAATGTCATTGACCGTAATGGCTGAGAATAATTGGTACCAGCAGTTAAGGGTTCAATGTCTTAATTGCCAATAATATTCCCTACTTTAATTTTTTTTATCACGATATCCCAAAAAATTTGTAACGCAATTTCCAAAGTTATTGGTCAGTATAGAATTGATCTATAAAAGATCAACGATTGCCGCTCAAGTGCCGCCCTCGCGTCGATGCTGTGTGTAGGTGTGATTTTATAGCCATGCGAGTGTTATTTTTACGATCGACCTAATGACCTTAAATCGGAAATCTGGTCAGTGGTGCTTTTGGGCTTCCGGTGCAGGGGATATACGGCACGCAACGCCTGCCGCGTGCAGCCGTAAAAACGCTTGCCGTGCTAAATAACGGACGAAAATTAGCTATTTATTTGATTTTAGTTATTCTGAATTATTGTGAATATTCGATAATTTATCCCTTGCCTCAGTTAAAAAAATTAGATACGAGTTAAATATGATGATGAACATCAAGGTTAACTTTGCGAAACAACGAACAGGGTAAAAGGACAGGAGATCGCGCTGTTAGTTATTCATTTTATCACTTACTCGCAGATCGTATAAGAGGAAAAATGAATGGGTGTGCATTGTAATTTGAATTTATAACAGAGTCAAAACTGTGGTTTTGGAGAGATATTTTAGCATCGTTCATTTAATTTTCATACAGATAAAAAAAAAATAAGATATATCTTTTTCAATTATTTCACTTCAGGATGCTTAATTAATTGACCGGAGTTATGATTTCTTATGTAAGATTTTATTTGACTTCACAATTTACTTGTATGATCAGTAAATTGTATTGTTGTATTTATTAAGTACCAAGTATTATATTGTTATGTAAATTTATTTTCTATTAATTGTTCAGTATATATCTTGTAAGTTAATTAATAAACAGTAAATAAGAAGGGACCTGGCGTCGCAATTTCATCCATGTCTTCATCAGTAGCTGGACTGGCATATAAGATTATTATTTAAAGCATACCTCCCTCTTCATTTTTGAGGCCAAATTTCCCGGTGAAAATTTACAGACGCGGCAGCTTTTGATTTGGATTACCTGCAGAAGCTGGGGCGACTCTAAATTTTGTTAGGGTTGGTACCACATTAATATCACCAAATTAAATAATTTTGATGACATCATTTCTGAACGCGAGTGTTGTAAAAAGTGAGCACTAGGGCAGCTGCTGTGTGATGCTCATTTGTGCTTCCGGTGAACAGGATGGTGGTGTTGATGTATGTAGGTGATGTATGTAGGTGATGTATGTAGGTGAAGTATGGAGGTGATGTATGTAGGTGAAGTATGTAGGTGATGTATGTAGGTGATGTATGTATGTGATGTATGCAGGTGATGTATGCAGGTGATGTATGCAGGTGATGTATGCAGGTGATGTATGTAGGTGATATATGTAGGAGATGTATGTAGGTGATATATGTATTCATGGGCAGTAATTTATATAAAAGCGGTGTATGGTAATATTTTTTTGCATTCAATCACCTTGTGATAATTATTTAGAGTTGGAAATTGATATTATTTGCGGATACGCTATTGTTAATATTTTTTTCTGATAATGGCCAGAGAGTTGTAGATGTAAAAAAGCTGTATGAATCATAAAAAAACACTGGACGTAATCATTTTTATAAATCGACGATATGTCGTATTTCAAAATAGATATTTTAGTACGATGTCTGATTACAACTATTTCTAGAGGCAGAGTGGTTGAAAATTAAAGATTGGTGATAAAAATAGCACGATGCTCAGCGTAAGAATTTCTACGTGTGGAAAAATTCAGGAAATAAGCTTGAGATAAATACGCAAGCGAGGGTACGCGGAGATAAATGCGTAGGCGAGGGTACGCGGAGATAAATGCGTAGGCGAGTGTACGCGGAGATAAATGCGTGGGCGAGTGTACGCGGAGATAAATGCGTGGGCGAGGGTACGCGGTGATAAATGCGTGGGCGAGGGTACGCGGAGATAAATGCGTGGGCGAGGGTACGCGGAGATAAATGCGTGGGCGAGGGTACGCGGAGATAAATGCGTAGGCGAGTGTACGCGGAGATAAATGCGTAGGCGAGTGTACGCGGAGATAAATGCGTGGGCGAGGGTACGCNTATGCAGGTGATGTATGTAGGTGATATATGTAGGAGATGTATGTAGGTGATATATGTATTCATGGGCAGTAATTTATATAAAAGCGGTGTATGGTAATATTTTTTTGCATTCAATCACCTTGTGATAATTATTTAGAGTTGGAAATTGATATTATTTGCGGATACGCTATTGTTAATATTTTTTTCTGATAATGGCCAGAGAGTTGTAGATGTAAAAAAGCTGTATGAATCATAAAAAAACACTGGACGTAATCATTTTTATAAATCGACGATATGTCGTATTTCAAAATAGATATTTTAGTACGATGTCTGATTACAACTATTTCTAGAGGCAGAGTGGTTGAAATTTAAAGATTGGTGATAAAAATAGCACGATGCTCAGCGTAAGAATTTCTACGTGTGGAAAAATTCAGGAAATAAGCTTGAGATAAATACGCAAGCGAGGGTACGCGGAGATAAATGCGTAGGCGAGTGTACGCGGAGATAAATGCGTAGGCGAGTGTACGCGGAGATAAATGCGTGGGCGAGGGTACGCAGAGATAAATGCGTAGGCGAGGGTACGCAGAGATAAATGCGTAGGCGAGGGTACGCAGAGATAAATGCGTAGGCGATGGCACGCGGAGATAAATGCGTGGGCGAGGGTACGCGGAGATAAATGCGTAGGCGAGGGTACGCGAGGGAAGCATGAGGGCAAGGCGCTAGGCGCGCAGGCGTCGTGCAGCGCCGCGTCTCACTCGCCGCGCCTGCAAATAAACAGCGACTAGAAAAACCCTCGTCAGGAGTGCCTGATTATTCGCTCATATATTTGTGCAGGCGATCATATATTTGTGCAGACGCTCATATATTTGTGTAGACGGTCATATACTTGTGCAGACGCTCAT